GGTGGAATAAACAGAAGGTTTTCAATGGGGTTCAGTGCAGTGGGCTCTTCATTTGTTTTCCAAACTTTTATATATTTACTCTCATTTTCACTACACCTGCTACAAGGTTAAAACTTCAAAGGTTCATGTATCATATATTTGGAATGTATTTTCTTAAGTAACAAAACATTTTTTTAAAGTAAGAAGCAAAGTGAGTTAAAATTTGTGCAGCGAAAGAGGAAAAAAGTGTGTGTGCGTGTGTGTTTGTGTGTGTGTTAATATTTATCGATAAATGTATTGTTTTCTATGATCGTGTCCTCCTCAGTGACATCATCATTGTGGGACTATTTAAGATGTGACACATGAGCACTTCCGTGATTGATCTATTAATTGATTGATCGATTAGAATAATGTAAGAGGCGACTTTCCTACTGGTTCAGATGCCCTGAAGACGTCGAAGCCGTCATAAGTTTTAAGTTTAGACGTGAAAATGTCTGAATCAGAAACAGAACGAAGATCCAGGGGAAAGTCGTTCTAAAGCCAGACTGCTGCCACAGAGGAGACACCATCACTCAGCCAATGTTTTCACCTTGACCTTGGGATGTCTAACCTCACTGATCTCCCAGAAACAAAAGAATTTAAACGATATGATAAACAATTGTTTGTGATGGTTTATGAATTCAAATCTGAGTGAAACATTTGCGCTCTGCCTACACCCCCACAGGCTTTTCTTGTGGAGATCAGGTGTAAGTGTGTGTATGTGTGTGTGAGCTGGCCACAATCATGTGACAAGCCATCCAGGATTGTCCAGCCTCGCCCCCTCCACCTTCACTACCCCCCATTCCTGTTTTTTTTTTTTTTTTTACTCTTGCAGTTTCATGGATCGTATTACTGGCTGCTCTCCCCGCTCCGCTGAGCCCACCGCCTCTGCACCAATCACAACCCGCCGTTACATGCGAGCACACACATTCTCAAATACATAACCACGAACACACGCGCTCGCGCGCACACACGCACGCACGCGCACGCTCTGTGACACATCCCTCCAGTTCCCAACTGCGCTGCCTTCACATGCGTCCCCGCCGACTCTCTCTGCGTAGCGCCGGCTGCGCCAAGATGAGCGTGGTCTCCTCGGTACCATCCGAACGGTACCAGCCCGCCGCCTGACCGAGCCGGAGCCACACCGAGGCGCAGACGGAGAGGGAGGAACA